ATTATCTCACTAGATTTGTAACGTAAATCATTTATAAACCTTTGCAAACACAGGAGAATACATCAACCTATGTCTAAATATGCCATGTATTGTACATCGCGATTTCAAAATAAAAGTTTCTGCACGTGGCCAAATATTACAATTTATTGGATTTAAACATTGTTTAATCACGCTGTAAAGTGAAACATCACCAGGCCGTTGGCGGCCTCTGCAGGTGTTTGTTTTAATATATAATGTACTTGGTTATGTTCATATGATGTGTAAGCATATTACATTTATGTATTTTAACAGTGCTGTTCAATACAATCATGTAATTTTATTTTTATTTTTTATTTTTGCCAATTATTATTGCCTCATCGTTAGTTTATATATAAATAGTCATGCTAAAGCCTGGTTTTCACTTAGGTCTGTTTGTGTTACTAAAAATATCAGATTACTCTGCTGTCAAAATAATCAGTAGATTACTTGATTACCAAGATAATCATTAGTTACAGCCCTAAATTAGTTAAAATATTTCTAAATACAACTGCATTGTTTTACTTTTTGTAATTAAAAGACAAATATTTTGCCATTGAAAATTTCTTTAAAACAGTATTATAACATTGTCTCGTTCTAGTGAACCAAGTATCTGTATTTCGTCTCATCTCGTGAGCTAAGTGTATTGTCACACCCCTAGTGTCGATAAGCTGTGATAAAACTCATAATTTTCAAAGTGTATAGCTTTCATTCTTCAGGTCAACCATATATTCATGAAAAAAAAAATCAGTTTGAATACAGAAAGCGATAACTTTGTCATAGTATCCTTTCAAATGTTAACGTTGCCACAGTTATTGCATGCTTTGCATGTGCTGCCCCGCCCCCGGGAAAAAGTTCAGGCTCAGGATTTGTTTTGCTTTAACTTCTAGATATTTATACTAGAACACAAGACAAAAATACTACGAGAATAACTTTTGGCAGTGTATTAATATTACCAGGCAATGCAAACCTGTTTCATGATTTGAAACTATATTACTCATTAGAACATGCAGAAACTAAGAAATTAATTAAGATATTAATTTTGCTAAGGAAATGTAATGGTCTGGTTTCTACAGCTTTCCCTTTGGAGCAAAAATCTGGCTTTAAACTTTAAAGAAATGAAAGATTTGACATTCATGGTGATAATTATCGATATGGACTGATTGTTGTGATAATTCTTTTGGTCATATCGCCCAGCTCTACCTGAACCTTTTTTCTTTTGTTTTGTTCCCTTGACGTCCCTACATGTTTTAAATAGGGAAATGAGTTTGTGCTGCTTACTAACTCTCAAAATAGTCGTAAGAAGCACCTTGATAAGATCTAGCTCTGAACGCAGGAGAACGGGCAGCTCGCCGAGAGACACGCCAGCGAACACTTCGAGCATCTCTTCGAGACGCTTCAGGAGCGGAGGACGGAGATGCTGCGCTCCATCGAGCAGAGCCGGAGTCTGCGGGTGGAGCGTCTGCGGGCGCAGGTGGAGGAGTACCAGGGCATGCTGGAGAACAGCGGCCTTGTGGGATACGCTCAGGAGGTGCTGAAGGAGACGGATCAGTCCTGCTTCGTCCAGACGGCCAAACTGCTGCACGTCAGGTTCGGCCTCGACTCGTTTAGCCTCGAGACACGTGACTGTAATCCAGTGTTTCTAGATTTAAACAAGGTTCCCAGTGCGTTCACTGTAATCCTGATCTGTATTAGCCCACAAAGCTGCTTTGACATTCACTTTCCCACAAACCCTGAGTCATTGTTTTTGATACGCCACATGATAATTATAGCTGGTAACAGTGAGCCGCTCTTTAGGATGGACTCAGTTACACGCTATTTATACACAATACCGGTCGCTTCAGAGTAATAGATCATGTTGTTAATTTAGATGATTTAACACATTTAGATGATTCTTCCCAGAGAACTAGATGAAGTTCAAGACAAACTTAATGTTGGCTAGCCTGAAAGCAGGGCTGCACGATATAACAAAATTATCGAAATATCGCAAATGTAAATATCGTGATATGCATATCGCAGTGGCATTGCAATATCTGAATCATTTTAATAATGGATAGATGACAGATGGATGGATGACGGATGGATGGATGGATGGATGGTTGGATGACAGATAGATGGATGGATGACAGATGGATGGATGGATGACAGATGGATGGATGGATGGATGAATGGATGATAGATAGATGGATAGATGACAGATGGATGGATGACAGATGGATGGATGGATGGATGGATGGATGGATAGATTCCGTCAATGTAAGTCTATGGGATTTTTCTGTCATTTTTAGGAAAACCGCAAGTCTTTTGTCAAGCCAGTGTAATGAATGGAGTTGTTCCTCTGGGCTCTGTAATGCACTTCTGATGCAGTATAATGGTTATGATTTTCTGATAGCATCAATCTTGTTTGTAAATAATTCATCATGTTCAGATGTAAAGCGTTGTCTCTTGTCAGCTGAATGTGATTTTGCCTGTGGTTTTTGTGACAGGATTCAGAAAGCCACCGAGTCTCTGAAGATGTTCCAGCCGGCGGCGACGCAGTCGTTTGAGGAGTTTGTGCTGGACACGTCGAAGGAGGAGCTCTTACTGAAGGAGCTGAGCTTCAGCGGTGGTGAGAATGAAGCGCTCGCTTTCCCTGAGCCGCTGCGCTGTTAGCGGAAGCTCTTTAGCAGAGTAATCCACTTACAGGCTTCACCAAGAGCGCCGCACTCAGACGCTTGTGTAACGTCAAAGCCAGTTAGGACGGGGTTAAAGGTGAACGATGGTGTTCTCTTCTGCTGATCTGCACAGACGCGCTCGCTCGTCCTTGAGCTGTGAGGTCAGTCCTGCTGAGCAAAGGCTCTCAGGCAGCGGATGGAGAATCAGTGCGGCTTTATCCTGATTAGCACTGTACACCGTTAGTGAGACTCGCTCTTATTTTAACGTTTTTAAGACGCGTTCACCTGTTTAGATGGCATCCGCAGAAACGCAGCGCTTTCTTCCAGGAAGTTATTGATCAGCGCTAATGCTCCTGACGGCTGTAATCTCTATCATGGCAGCTGTGTGCTGTAATGTGATTGGCCGATGAGGCAAATCTCAGCGATGCGATTCCATCATCAGCTTTAATCCTGCCGCAGTGCAACAGATTCTCTTCCACTCCATGTTTTGTTCTGCCATATCTCCTGGTGCTGCCGTCTCACGGTCTCCTCCGTCCGGATTAATGCGTCTCCTGTTTGGATCAATAGCCTGTTATTCGCAGAGAAGCGTTTGGGCTCTTGGCAGACCGGCTGGCCGTGACGGGCCCCGTTTCCACGGCGACCAGCGGGCCTCGTCCTCGGGGTCACGTGTGTCTCGCTGTGATGGAGCAGTTTAACAGCGATAGCAGGACTCTGTGAGATGCAGCTCTTAAGTCCAGTGAGCTGTATTTCTACAGCGCTGTATACAACACAGATCAGCTTCACAGAGACAGAAATAGCAGAATCAATGTTTCTGTTGTACAGCAGCTCTCAAACACAATAGAGTCATTATTGAGATCAATAGCGGTGATCGATCAGCTGTAGGAAGTTCTATAATAAGTGTTGTTGTTCTGCTCGAGTCAGTTTCAGTTTAATTTGATCGCTGCACTTCTTTCGTTGTATGTCTTCTGAGGTAATATAATCATCAGAAGGCCCGTTGGTTGTTCATTTCTAAAGAATATATTTGTTTCTGTAGTTCCTTAAAGTCTCACATTCGGTTTGATCATGTTTAAGGCCATAAAAAGTCTTAAGTAGTACAACAAAAGTCTTAATCATTTTAAGAGGTTTTAAATTTGGGAAAGGAAACAGTTGCTGTGATATGCACATGATCGTTAAACTTCAAAAGGCTATGATTATTTAAATAAACATGAGTGCTGCACATTTAAGTCAAAACATGGCACTGTTGCACGTTCAACAGGATCAAGTATTGATATACGAGAACATAAACTAATTTACAAAAATATAGAATGAAACATGTCTTGAATATGTAAACTTGCAGTTGCCCTGTTTTGCAGTTGAATGTGACACAGCCTGTTTAATTAATTCAGAAGGAATTTGGTTTATTTTGAGATTGTGTTAAAAACTCTTTAATATGATTTTTAAAACGCAGCAGTAACCCTGTTAGCGGGAGACAAATGGCAGAAAATTACTTAATATAACCATAACAATGTTGTGCTGTCCTCTCACAAAAAAATTTAATAAAAGTAATAAAATAAAATAAAAAATACAAGTGCTTGATTGGTAATCTTTTTTATAGAAAAACACATTGAAGAAGACATTCAGTGCTGACAGAAAAGCTGATGATGGTTTCTGTCTTCAGTTCCTGCGCCTCCAGTGATCGATCTCTCTCGCTGCCGCGTTTATAACGAGGGTCTGATCCACTGGCGTCTGTCTGAAGACTCTCTGCCCACCGATCATCACATTGTGGAGTTCAGGAAGCTGGGATCTGAGGAGGAGCAGGAGTCCGGCTGGAGCGCGAGCGAGCCTGTGTTCGGCTGCAGCACAGTGCTGTCTGACCTCAGCACAGACTCCAGCTACACCTTCAGAGTCAAGAGCTGCAGGAACAGAGTCTACAGCCCCAGCAGCCCCGAGGTGACCCTCCACACGCCTCCAGCACCGGGTAAACACACACACACACACACTCTCTCGCCTCACTCTCACTCACTCACTCACACACTCTCTCTCTCTCTCTCTCTCTCTCTCTCTCTCTCTCTCTCTCTCTCTCTCTCTCTCTCTCTCTCTCTCTCTCTCTCTCTCTCTCTCTCTCTCTCTCTCTCTCTCTCTCTCTCTCTCTCTCTCTCTCTCTCTCTCTCTCTCTCTCTCTCTCTCTCTCTCTCTCTCTCTCTCTCTCTCTCTCTCTCTCTCTCTCTCTCTCTCTCTCTCTCTCTCTCTCTCTCTCTCTCTCTCTCTCTCTCTCTCTCTCTCTCTCTCTCTCTCTCTCTCTCTCTCTCTCTCTCTCTCTCTCTCTCTCACACGCACTCACTCACTCACACACTCACTCACTCACACACACACACACTCTCACACACACACACACACACTCTCTCGCCTCACTCTCACTCACTCACTCACACACTCTCTCTCTCTCACACGCACTCACTCACTCACTCACTCACTCACACACACACTCTCTCTCTCTCTCACACACTCACTCTCTCTCTCTCTCTCACTCACACACTCACTCTCTCTCTCTCTCTCTCTCTCTCACACGCACTCACTCACACGCATTCACTCACTCACTCACACGCACGCACTCACTCACTCACACGCACACACTCTCTCTCGCTCTCACACACACACACTCTCTCTCACTCTCACTCACTCACTCACTTACTCACTCACACACTCTCTCTCTCTCTCTCTCTCTCT